CTCAGGTATGGCTCCTAAAATCGCCACGGTCACCTCCCCGAGTAATCGCTGTTTTCGGCCACAGTAGTGGGCGGTCACTATTTTCTTTTCAGCCAATAATGCTTTTTTGCTTTTGTACCAGAACTGAGGGTTCTGATCTTAATATTTGAGAAAACGTAAGCTGGAACCTGTTGGAGCACGGGGAGGTAGTGCGGTGGGGGCGAGGGGGAGGCTTCTTAATAACGGACCCTGATGTGTGGGTCAGAAAACCTGAATTTTAATCCAGCTGTGAGACCTTGTCACCTAATCTTTCTAGATCCACTTCCTCCCCCTGAGAAGTGATGGAGTTGGATAGAGAGATGATTTGTGAGTTGGCAACTCAAAATGAGGCTCAAATGCATTAATTAGTCAGTGGCCCACAAGGACCGGAAGCTCTGACCGAGAGCTCTGCCTTACCACATTCCCGGTCCATACTATAGTGTGAAGAATTTCACACGGAGGTGGTCAGAAAGGGGACAGACACACAAACCTAATCGACAGCATCACGGCTCCCTGAGGGGCCCCTTTGCTGCTCTCCCAGAGCTGCGGCTCCTTGAGGTGCTCTCGATAGAGCAGCTCACATTCCTTCACCTCCTGAGTGGATGACTGAAGCTCTCCTCACAAGTTATTATGCACAGTGGCTCCAAGCCAGAGCTTCCCTTTGCAGCACAGAACCTGGCTAAATGACGCCTCATCAGCTGGCAGTTTTCTCTCTTCATTTCACCTGCTGAAAGTCTCAGAGATACGAGAGAGCTAAACTCTAGACTGTTAAGCCAAATTTTCCATCATGACTAACAACCATCATTCGCTGAGCTGCTATTATGTGCAAGACACTGTGCCAGGAGTTTTACCTTCATGCCCATGTGGAACTCTCACGTTAGCCTCAACAAAGAAGCCCCGAGATCCATCTAGGTGACATAACTGACAGGTGACAGGGCACAAACTCACAAGCTCAGCTCAGATCTGCCGGACTTCAGAACCGCTTCTCTGCAAAATACCTGACTGCCAACTCTGTCCGTTAACCACGGGGATATCAAGAGAGCAAAGTGCAGCCAAAGACCAATGAGGTATCAATTACATCAAGGGGCGATCAGACGAATAAACCTGCTTTAAACAATATGGGGAAACCCTCCCCAAAAGGGAATACCAGACTGACTCGCAAGGCAAACTTTCATGCATGGTGTGCATACACTTGCTCCAATATATTGAATTAAACAAATAATTCCTCAGCACTTACTATGCGGCAGACACATAACATGCATCGCTTTTTACAATGCATGTTGTGCCTTCATGTTTCAGTAACGCATCCAACGACTGAACAATTGCAAAAACAGGATGAATGGTCAAAAACTTTTTTTGATCATTTTCAAATAAAAAGAACTTCAGATAATAATTATTTTCTCCCGGTTAAGAGGCCATGCTCTTGGGCCAGATGTCTGCCAGGAATGCTTTTCTGGGAGTAAAACTATTGACAGGACAATTAAAGATTCAACTACATCACCAGTGTGGATGAGGAGACTTGAATATCTATAGCCCTTGAAGCTCTCTGAAGAGGTCTCCTGGGTCAGAAACTTTCACCAAAAAAAAAAAAAAAATTATTTTCAAGGAAGCTTCCCTACCCACTGCCTCTTAAAATACACCGTTTGGAACATAGTGGGTTCTCAAGAAATCGAGTTGGATGAGCACGCCAAACTTAGACTAGGAAGTGTGGGCGGGTGGGTAGTGTTGTGCATAATTCTGGGGTTTGTTTCAAGTCATTAAAAATCCTCACTCAACACACAAAGTTGATAGGGAAATAATACTTCCATTCATTTTACAGACTCCACAAAAGGCTGGCATGCATGGTATCCCATTTTCTCCTACTGGCCCTGTCGGAGGCTGGTGTCGCTCACCCTGGACAGAGACTCAGGAGCCTGCAGCACGGGCGAGACAGAGCGACTTGACTTGCCCAAGGTCAGTAAGGAGTGAGCCAGGATGCAAATGTCCTTCTTAGGATTCCTAGTCTGTTGCACTTTGCATTACATTAAGCTGCCTAAGCAGTGACTTTATGAGATACCACATTCAGATGATCTCACTTCCATACATTAACAATTTTAGAAGATGACAAGCCAAAGAATGAAAATTTCATGTAATAATTAATTACTTGTGAGAGCATTCAGTGCTGCTGGCTTGGAAGGGGAGCTCTGCTCTGTCCCTCTTCTGGAGGTAGCCGTGACTCAAAGGCTCACAGCCCCATCAGTGGGGTCTGGGCTGAAGCAGAGGTCCAACTGTCCCCAGTGTTGGAGACATGGAGACAGGGAACCAGAAAACAGCCAGGCGGCCCTCTCAAATCTCACAGTGGATGTACGCTAACTTAGCATTGTTTCAAGGAAAAGTGGCCATCACAGATGACGTTCTTCTTTCAACACTCTATGTAAATTCTCCTGTAAATTCTAAGGGCCATTGGACGATCTCTCTGAAGCAAAGCCAACCTGGAAATGTCTTAAAGGCAGAGTCTCAGTGCCCTTCAGGAAACCGTTTAATAAGTCGCCTGTCTCCCCTGTCAAATTGACAGTGCAGGAAGAGCCCGCACGGGGTACAGGCAGGGGGACCGCAGGGGTTTATTCAGTTATTTCTATTATTTCAACCACGCTTCTGAAGAGATGGGTAAAAATTCAGGTAGCGCATCTAGAAACAAGCTTCCTACTCACCTTTTCAGGGCAGAGTCAGCCTTTTAACAACCTTGTTTTTAAAACATAAAATGTTGATGTAAACGCCAACTACCCTGCATCCTCAACCAATAAATATAACGCCACTAATAAAAATGAACATCACAACAACTAACGAGTTTTTCCTTCCTGACTGTTCCCAAAGGACCCAGGTCTTGTGTTTCACATGTTATTTCATTACGCTTTCTCAAAAAGTCTTCTTCTTCTTATTATTATTATATTATCCCCCATTTAACAGATGAAGAAATTAGGCTTCAAGAGACTTAAAAATTTTGCCCAACGTCACCCAGGTAAAAAGAGGTGGATTCAGGATGCCTGGCTTGGACACCATCAGCAAAACGTGCCCTCCAACAAATGACTGTATGGAAAAAAAAAAAGTGGTATGTACATACAATGGAATATTATTTAGTCTTGAAAAGGAAGGAAATTCAGGCACATGTTACAACACAGATGAACCTTCAGGATGTTATGCTGAGTGAAAAAAAAACGGTCACAAAAAGATAAATACTGGATGATTCCCTTATATGGGGGACCTCAAGTAGTCAACTCCATCGAGACAGAACGTGGATTAATGGTTGCCAGGGGCTGGGGCAGGGAGAAATGGGAAGTGGGTGTTTCGTGGGCACAGAGTTTCAGTTCTGCACGATGAAGAGAGATCTGAAGACGGATGGTGGTGATGGTTGCACCCCTGAACAAATGGTTACGAATGGTTAAGATGGTAATGCTATGTGTATTTTTACCACGATTACAAATATTTTTTTTAAAAAAAATGGGGGGAAAGGTCAAACACAGACTCCTTTAATCTATATAAACCTGGGTGAATATATAATAAGTTTTGATTATCTAATAAACATCTAAAGTAGTAAAAAGAAAAAATCTATATCCCCAGGTGACTTATATATGGCAATTTAAAATTCCAAAATTAAATCTGAAACCTCAGATTTTGAAAAAAACAAAACAAAACAAAACAACAAAAAACAAAAAATAAAAAACCTGCTCTTGAACAAGAACTGATAGTCTAATGCCAATATTCTTCACCCCATCCCCCCCACCATCCATCCACTATATTTAGACCCACTTCTCAAGAGAACGGAACCTCAAAATTCCTGTTTGACTTGCACTGGAGCAAGGCCAGAAGTTGTGGTACCATCCTCTCCCCGCCAGGTCATAGTACATCTGCTGCTCCCCCACCGACCACGACCACGTGGTCCACGGTGCTGCTCAGCAGACACCCAGGTGGCTGATATGCCCTTCAAGGCAAATGGGCCCAATCTGGATTTCTGATCTGAAACACCATCCTGCAGATCACCGCCCCATCCTCCATACAAGCCAGGAAACCTGAAATCCCACTGCAGGGACCAGCAGAACCAGAAGAGGACCAGGGTATGCAGGTCGGTTTGACAAGTTGTCATTCTCATGTTAATTACCATTATCGATTAAGGCAATGGGTCCTCCTTTCATTAGCAAGGCCTTTAGAAATCTTTGAAAAAGATTTCTCACTCTCTCCTGCCCTAGACCCAAGGCGGCACACCCACTCTCTCATGCCCTAGACCCGAGGCGAGGCGGGCTGGTTGAACTTCTTTACCCTCCATTTCCCAAAGGAGCAAATAGAAGTCAGGGTTTGCCCAAGGTCGAACTACTAGCTGGCTGCAAAGTAGGAACTGGAACCCACCCCTGTTATTCCTTCCATTACACACCTCCCTCCAGAGACAGGGCTGGCCTGCATCGCAAGGAACAGGAAATTGAAATGGCTCCTGGTAAGGCAGGGAGCCTGCCAACTTCCGAGAGAAGCTGACAGATGACCAGAGCCCTCCCTGAATCCAAAACACCTCCTCCAAAGAGCTTCCGACGGACCTCTTCCCACCTGCGGTGCGAAAGAGGGAAGCTCCGAGGGTCCCGCAGCCCACCGTGCCCATCTGTCCACTGACAGGACCACGTTAGAGAGGAAGGAAGCTTAGGATAAGGAAGATACTCTTGAAAATCTGAGTCGGAGAAGCAGTTTCTCAATATGAAGTTATCGGCTTTATTCCCACTCCTATCACAGCACCCCCCACACCCACTCTTTTCTTAATCCCCACCCCTTAAGCACAAAACTGGAAGAGGGGCAAAGCGGAAGAGAGATGAATACTCGAGAAACAGCACCAGCTGCGGGAGGAGCCACCAGGCAAACAGGGCAAAACCCCAAAAACGATAGGAAGCTTCTAAGAGCAAAAATCATGCACCTAAAGTCATGCACCGTTTCCAAAATATTGAAGCAGATTTCAATCACTTTACCTGAGTTGTTTTTGCTCTTCTGCCTTGCATGCTGTTGCTATGGCTAATTTGTGGGTTGGTGGCACCTTCAGAAAGACAGTGAGATTTCCTACAGGGAAGTGTGTTATAATTACTGTAGGGAAGAGCCTCTTCAGCAGCAGCTGGTGGCATCTTGTGGTTTGCAAGATTGGGAATATCAGACACCAAATTCCGACAGTAGCCTGCAAATTTGCCCCTCGGCCCCCCGTTTGCCATCACGGCGGAGGTTTTCTGAGCATACAAGTCACTCAGGGAATTGGCACGCTGACAGGTGCTGAGCCGCCGCGGACTCGCCCGGGTTTCCATACCCCGAGCCTCCTCGCAGTCTTTCTCTTCCGCGGAACCCAAGATTTCTTCGTTGCTTGTTAAATGTTCTTGGCTCAGATCGGAAAGTGAGAATTCCAGGCTGTCCTCCCGCCAGATGTCTGCAGATTTGGAGCGCTTCTTCTTAAAGCTCGCCGTCTCCATGAACGTGGGCCCGTTGGATGTATAGGGATGCTGTCTCCTGCCTCCCTCAGCCAAGTATGTAGCGTCATCTCCGTAAAGCCTGCTCTCCTCCGAGTCTGGCATGCTCTGCACAGAGGCTGCTGTGAGGACGATGCTGCTGTCTACGCTGGGAGTGACAGAAGAATCGGTGTAAGACACGGGTCTCAAGCCCATATCCACGCGGTCCACCCATATGGGGCTCCCGAAGTCCTCCAGGGTGCCTTCCTGGGAGAAGGGTTCCAGGCCATTTTCGGCCAGGGACTGGGGGATGCTGGGGGTGCTGCTGGATCGGGTGCTCACTTCGGAGTTGCGGTGGATCACCTTCCCGGAGGAGGCGTGCCTCGTCCGCCGCGCCTTGTGCGACAGTCGCAGCGAGCGCGACGTGTGCTTGCGCCCCAGGCTGGCATGCTTTTCTCCATAAAACTCATGCTCTACATTTTGACTTTCTGCGTTTCCCATGGTTTTATGGTCTGTAGCAAAAGGGGGAAAAAAGAAAGGAGGGTATAATTGAGTCACCAACGGGTATGGGCAGTTGAACCGAAATGGCTCAGCATGCAGGGAAGGCAAACAGCTTGGCAGGTAATGGCGCAGCATCCTATATATAGGTACCTGGCGGCTACTTGGACTCTTACGCGGTAGCAGGTGAGAATTAACATCCACTGAGATTACGCCTCCGGGGATGTGAAAAAAGAGCATAAATAAGATCATTAGAGAAATACACTTGTCTTTGCCCAGAGGGTAGCTGCCCACCTGGCACGCCACAGAGTTAGTTTCACAGGCTGGCAACCCTTGTCTTCTCTCCTATAGTTAGAGACTTAGATATTTAAAGTTCCATTCCCATCCATAAACCGAAAACTCTAAAAAGAAAACGAAGGTGTCTGCCTAATGAGTAATGTGTTTGATATTATGTATTTCCGGGGAAAAAAACAAACAAACAACACCTCAGAGGTACATCTGAAAACATCCCTCCCTCTCAGTGGTTTTTCTGCTTCATTCTGACTCCGTCTACACTTAAAAAAAATCAATCAAAAATGAAAAAATTCAAGATGTGAGTCCGATCAACTCTTCCTAATAAACCAAAGTCGGAAAGGAAAAACGCTTTTACCTTTCATTCCACAGCGTTCTGAAAAACCCTGATTTTCAGTTAGGAGAGGGCGTGAAGTGAGAGATGGGCGAAACAAAATAGAAACTCCGCTCTCCGCTTAGCAGCAGGCTAATGGGTTTATTTCTGGGAGCAAATCCAACCTGAGAACATTAATCTGGTACAGAGTGCCCCGCAAACAGAGACTCGCACTGTCAAACCACCAAATGTGACTCAGCCTTTTGGGGCTACCCAGGTTAATTCAAGTCCCTCCTTACCATTTTTCTCTCGCCGACCAGATAACTGTTACCCAGAGTGGAAAACAGAAAAATCTTCAAAACTCGACACTCGTGACTCTATTTAGCCTATTCTCCTTGCCCCACAAGAGATTCCTCTCTACCATTCAAATCTTGTACACTTAAGATACACATATAAAAATGGCCAAAAAGGAAAAGAGAAAAATATAGTAGCTGGGCAGATTCCCCGAGCCGATTCTTTCAACCACCTACATACTCATTCAGAAAATATATACTGAGCACCTACCATGTTCTAGAAGCCAGAGATACAGCAGTGAACAGAGGAGGCACATTCTCTACTCTCATGAACATGATATCCTAGCCAGGGGAGGCATATAATAAATGAAAACTGACAGGCACCAAGGGAAACAGGGAATGAATTCACTGTGACCATTCCGGTTGGAAACACCCTGGAAGAGAATACACCTTCACACCGACCCGGGAATCACTCCATAATCCCACGATTCCATCTAAAATGTTGCTTGACCTCTCACAAGCACGTCTTGACTGAAATGAAATTTGTGGCAACAGGAAGTGAAAAACCTCCATTTAATGTTCCATCGAGTTCAGGAATAACTCATACAAACACCAGATGTTCAGCTATTCCCATACTGGAATATTCCCTACCAGGTCAAAACATCATGTGATTCTCAGAACTTTCTGAGACAGAGACTCTCCTTTTTACTGGTAGAAAATGTGTTTCAAAGCCATAAGTTCACGCCTCTCTGGCTGGCATCTTTAAAAAGCGAAAAAAAAAAAAAAATGATGAAAACTCCGAAGAGGAAAAACAAAAAGACCAACCATCCATGCATGACCATTATGTTAGCGACATTCCTAAGAATATCATGGGCTACATTTTTTTAAAGTAAAATAAATAAGCATTTTAGTAACACTAAATTGTGTTACTAACGGTCAGTGATCAGTACCTCACAAACTTAATCACCACATAGTCACTAGGGTTTCTGAAGGGGGATGCAAAAGCCAGGATCACAACTGGTCAATGCCATGACCAATTTCCTAGGGTTCTTGATTTTTTTTTAAAGTATACATTTAAGATACCTGGATGTATCTATATGTTTTACCAATAAGCAATTAAAAGTTTAGAAGAACAAGTGTTAGCCACAGTCCTATTTTAAGAATTGCAAAGATTTAAATTGAAAGAAAGGAAAGAATTATGGTGAAAGAAAGACAAAACTGTCACCTCAAATACACTAGGATGTATCCTCATCTATCACACAGATCAAAAGTTTGCAAATACAAACTGACAGACATATTCTCGACAACAAATTTCTGGTTAGGCTTGTTTCTGCCAAAAGAAAACTAATCAAGTTAAAAGCCTCAGGAGAGATTTCCTAAAGGAAATGGCCCCAACCTTCAAGAATTACAACACTCCATGCATCACTCTGATGGATCTGTTATATTAATAGTATTTTTTAGTAGCAAGACTCTTTTCAGCCAGCCAAGGTAGGAAAGAAGCCATTTTTATCTTTAGAACTAGAATTTAGAGATGAATGCCAAATCTCCTAAATCCTACCAAGAGAAATTCTCAGGGGATGAATAATTTAAAAGCTTTCTCAAAAGGTCAATGAGACCCCTGAGGGCCAATGTGTGTGTGTGTGTGTGTGTTTGGTGGGGTGGGGTAGGGGGTGGAGGGGTTGAGGACAGGGACAGACTCTGAAACAACATATGCATGAAAAAATTAAAACTGTTCATTGAATACAATAGACAATCTCTCCTTTTGGGGACGACTCCTGCTCTAAATTTTCAGTGGTGAACTGAAAATTCTCATTCTTTTCTCATACACATGTAAATGCCAGCTACTTCCAGCTTCTTAATTTCAACACGTTCTCTCCTAATTAACCCTTACCATTTATTTTTATTTCAAAAAATATATTTTTAAAAAATGTGATTTATATTTTACACTTGCGCAGGCCTTGATTGTTCCTGTGAGTCTAGAAGCAACTTGCAGGCAGAAAGTGGCTCTGACTTTCTATGGTCAGCACTATCGAGACTAGTGTGTTCTATTTGTGATAATGAGTCATTAAATGTTCATGCATTCTCGTAACGAAAGGAAACGGTCAGTGATCAGTACTCACCAACGTAATCGCCACACGGTCACTAGGTAAGAGGGCTAAAGAAGTGGGGGGAGGACAAACTGAAATGCAAACACCAGGATCACAATTGAAAAGAAGAGCATTCGAAAAGGTATTTGATCTCAAACCGAGAAACGTTACTGGTTTTGAACTCGTTAAACTCTCATTTGCAGACTAGGATTTACTTATGTAGTAAGTGAGTGGCTTGTCCTTTCCAGGGCAGCTAGTGGCAGGGGTATGAAGCGGGAGGTACTGGGTAAGATTTTAGTGTCAGAACAACCCTCAGTATTTAAACCTCAAGTCTGGCATCCGCACTTGTCGACAGTCTAAGGCCTAGCTTCCCTGGCCTGGCCCCAGGGCCTTTGCCCATGCTCTTCTCTCTGCCCTCACCCTTTCTTAGGCATCTACCTGGCTTACTGTCTCCAGGCCATTCAGAACTTGACGCAAATCTCGGGGAGGCCTTTCCTAGTGTTTATCCAAAATGACAATCCTACCCACACTAGGAGGCCTTTCCTAGTGTCTATCCAAAATGACAATCCCACCAACACTTCCAATCCTGCTTCTCTGTCTTCTTTTTCCCTCCTTAGCATTTATCACAATCGTAACAAACAATATAGTTCACTTACTCATCTTTGTTATTCTCTATCCTTCCCCACTAGAAGCTAAGCCTCGGGAAGACTGCAAGTTTTGCTGATCTCGTCCGCTGTGATATCCTCGATGCCTAGAACGCTGCCTGAAAAGGTAGTAAGGTGCTCAGTAGAAAAAAAATAGAATGAATGAATGACAAAATAAACTCTAATCCAGGGCGTAAAAATTCATACAACTATAAAAAAAATACGTGGACGAGGATGTTCCCACAATGTGAACCAGCACAGCGCCTAGGATGCTCTCTGCTCTCTGGCCCCTTCCACCTGCAGACCTACCTATGCAGGTCCCTCATTCCAGACCACCGGGTTTAGGATCAACCTGATCCATGAACTGAGTTGAAGCTGAAATGAGTTCAGCTACCCCTGCTCCACCGTGCTTTCCAATACCAGGCTGCCTGCACAAAGAATGGAGGCCTTGCTCCTGACTTATTCCACTTAATTCTTACCTTCAATTCCTATCTATCTCCTCTTTTTGGAGCTATCCCTGCAGAGGCTTAGGAAAGGGGGTTGGAGTTGAGAGGGTGCCGCTCCCCGCTGTCAGGGCAGAGAGTGCAGATCTGCTCAGCCTAAGATGGTCCAGAGAAAATGGGGTCACAGGAGACACAGTGGCGTGATGAAAAGAGGTCATCCGACAGTAGTACAGGGTCAGAAAATCAAGAGATTCTCAGGGACAGCCAGAGATAAGGGCACTAGAAGGAGCATGACTTTCCCATTCTTCCCAACACCATGATCTTATTCTTGAAGTGATGAGTTAAACTTTTCAAGTAATCATAGTAACTTCCTTTAAACCCCATCAAAATAAATACATAATGAAAGAGTAAAAAGTATCATAAGGAACTTTATCCTAAGTACAGACAGTCACTAGGGTGGTTCATACCTGCATCAGTAATGGCCATTACTCAGGGATGGCTTTTATTGATTTATTAGTCTACTAAGCCTTACATGATAAAATAGTGTAATTGAAAAAAATGTCAAACTCCTGGCTTTGGAGGTTTACTATAATTATGTAAGAGGCAACCATTATGGGGAACTGAGCAAAGGGTATACTGCCTGTGTACAATTTCCTATGAATCTGAAATTATTTCTAAATAGTTCAAATAAACAAAGCCTTAACTAACTGGATTCCGGGTAAATGAATTTTTGTTTAAAAGTGAGGATTCTTTGAAATGAAGCATTTCTGAATCCCCTTTTATAGGTGAAAGTCATCTAAAACACTCTTGTATAATTTCAACAAATTAGGCAATAAAAATAAGCATGTACTGGGCATCATCTAGCACCATGGTATCAGGAAATACAAAGCAAACACAGACCAATGATCCAAAGCGAGGTTAAGTAGAGAGGTAGAGTTGATTAACTGGGGATAAAGCTTCTGTCTTAATAACGTAGGGAACAAAACTGAGTTGCTGACATGCAGTGCCAGCCACGATGGAGTAAGGCACTGTGGCCAATCTTCCCTTCACTGATAAACACTAAAGACTCTGGACCAAATGAAAAAGCAACTACCTGAGCATTCCGAGAGTAAGCAAAAGCAGGTGGATTGGGGGAGTCAAAACCTGAAGAAGACATCCTACGAGAGTTTCCTGTTTTTGTTTTTATTATTCTAATTTCTCTCCCAGCCTTGCACAGAGGGTGAACACGCAATGCAGCTTGGCAATGGCAGCAAAACATCCTGAGACACGTCCTGTCGTTCTGGCCAAAGGAACCAAAAAGAGTGGTCCCTACAAGCCAAAGAGATGGGGCGATCTCAGAGAGAAAAAGTGCTGGAGAAGCAAATCTTCTAATGCTGTGTTTAAGTCCACATAATTCCCAGGCTCGCAATTCAGATGCACATGCCTGGGACTGGCCCAAAGCGAGACAGCGAAGGCTTTGAAAGCCAAATTACAATATAAACCACAGCCCGCACCCCAGACTAACTCCCAGGTGGCACATGTGTGGGAAAAACCCAAAGCAGCAGAGCAAAGCCTTCGAAAACTGAACTGACATTAGAGACACCGCTCACCAGAGGTCAGAGAGAAATTGCAGTCTGAACCTAGCCAGGTTGACTGCCTGCTAAAACAGCAAAAAAGAAAAATCAACATTCTCCAGATGATTTTAACAGAACCTAGAGTCTCCCAACAGCATATTCAAAACATCCATGATGCATTCCAAAGAACCAAGCAAATCTAACCGGTTCTCAAGGGTAAAGACAATCAATAGATGCCACCCCGAGGTGCCCCAGAGGTTGAAATGATCAAACAAAGACTCTTAAAGAAGCTATTATAACTGTGCTCCCTGAGTAAAGGTAAACGTTCTTGAAATAAATGATAAACTTAACTGCTTGCCGTGTCTATGCAAGATCATTATGAACATCAATTATTACACATGGGTAGGGAAACAGAACACAAGGAAAAAGGAAAGGTTAAATCTATATGACCCACGATAGAGCATATAAGCTGCATTTTTTAAATCATGCTGATGTTATGTTTACTGCATAAGAAAACATTCCAGTTAATAGAAAGCCACCTCATGGTCAAGGTATCTGACCAGAGAGAACACAGAAAAATACTACTGTACCTTCAGATTGGTCAGAGGAAAGGAGGGAGAGAAAGAAGTCATGGGGAAACCAGAACTAACTCATCACCTCAAAACCTAAGGAGGTTACAATAATATTTTTATAGTTTCAGAGGTCTGATTCCTTAGATGAGACCGGAAGTGCAAGTGGTACTTCAGCCATAGAGCAGCGCCCCACCTTGTAGCTGGGGCGCGGGAAAGCTCCGTGTGATCAAAGCCCAGCCTGCGGGACAGCCTGCCAGTGCCTGCCCTGTTCAGTAATTAATCAAAAAGACAATTTTCCTACAAGGAACAAACATCTCTAGAGCAAAACTCTTCTTATTCTCAGGAAATAAAAGATTAAATTTGACATGCGTGTCCAAGACACTAGCTTTGAGAAGATTAAATTTTTCTTTAAGAATATTAATAATATTTCACTTATGCGTGCACACACACGCGCACACACACACACACACACGTACACACACACACACACACGCACACTAGACCTGTGTAAAAATTGTTAAAGTAACTATTCTGGATAAAGTGATTATGCATAATTTTAACTTTCGAAATTACACTTTTTAAAATATTTCCTAAAGTTTCTGCGCTAAACCTGCAATTCATTTTCAGGAAAGAAAAATAAATAAAACATGTTACCATGTTTTAAGTCCCTGGGTGTTTTAGATCATTGAAGAGAGTGAGGATGTGGGCACTATGCTGACAGCTACAACAAAACGGCACCAAACCCAAACTTAAAACAGATGGTTTGGGAAAATTACCTAAGATAAAGAAAATACTCTCTAGCTTGGATTTACTCATTCTCTCTACGTTCCAATGGCACCTTGACTTGACCTCCTCACACTGTGTCTGTGGCATGATTATTCGTAAACTGACTCACTTCTCTCTGGATAGACCCCTTTCCCATTTTCTTATGGGAAATCTCCCAATGACAAGGACCGTGCCTTACTCATCATTGTATTGGTGCTCTAAATAAAATAAAATTTTAGCATAGCTCTTTCAACAGAAATGCCCGTCACTCAGATTGCCTTATAACAAGGGCGCTTGGAAAATATAAAACTTTAGCGCCTATTAGTGGATCCAAGATGACCCAGTTCGTATCGTATTCCAGTCAAAAGTTAACTGTGAAAGCAAGGTCTCTCTGTTGTTGCTGAGGCATCACGAAATCCGAGCATAAGGCATTTAATGATGTATATAAATTATGATTATTAAAAATAAAAATGTTTCATTCTCCTGAGGTATTTAAACACTTATTAAAATAAACATAATGATTACCCTTCTATGACTTGAAAACAGACCTCCAAAACTGCAGGAGAAAGAATGAAATGTATTTATTTCAAAGTTAAATTTGAAGCAAAAATCACAAGACAACAGATTGCAAATTTAAAATTAGATTCCAGTGGGAGGTCTTGGTTTCGAGCCTGTTTTTTCCCTACTGGAGGCTGAGCTTGAAGACAGGGAGGGACAAGAGCTAAGATTAAACTGAGACAAAGTTCTGAAAGTTTCTGCTAAATCTTTACAAACCCATGAAAAGCATTTTGCCAAGTCACACACAAATACCCCTCACACAAGAAACTAAACAGGAAAGTTTTGCCACAAATAAAAGATGATCTTCGATTTAGAAAGATTATTATGTTGACTGTATTTATTTTGCTTTTTAAAGATTATCCAAACCAGAAACAAAATATATCATTGTTTTGAAGTAAGATTTTAAAGGCAGGCTTGCCTTTTTCAAACATAATCCCATATAAAGATGGTAAAGCTTGGGGATAAATTTAAAAGACCCTGAGGGCAATTCACAGGGGAAAAAAGATTTCATAGGTGCCTGCTTTTTTTTTCTTTTCTTTTTTTCTTAAATTTTAAAATGCTAATGCTTTTGAATTGTTAGATGGGTGTAACCTTAATCCAAAGAAGTGATTCTAAATTCTTTTTCCCACGAGCCATCGAGCCATCGACAACACAGCAATTCCAATAGCATTAAAATGTGTCCAACCCACCACCACCTTGAAGCACTGCCATTAATTCACGTACACGCCACAACCTTACCTCACAAGGCAACAGTGATTCCCAGCCCAACGTGCCCCGAGAGCACTGTGGCATTTAGATACTGAGACTGGAAATGGTATCGGGGTGAACGGTGACTGGGGCTGGGAAATGTATCAGCACCTGGCCCTGGGGACGCCCATCATGGTCTCATCTGAGTCTAGGAGAATGTGCCAAAAACCTGGACAGAACAGAAAGAGAAAAGAAATGGTCAGCCAGGACACAGGAAACAGGCAATGCTCCAACACCCATTTTGGGTGAAATAGCACACTTCCAATCAAACAATGCCACATTTAGCCACAAGTGTAAAATGACAATGTATAATCAGTAAGTGAATAGAAGCACAGTCGTATTTATAGTCATAAGTAGCCTTACAAACTTACTTTATCATTTTAACCTATTCCTATAGATTAAGGATCAGATAACAGAAACGGGTCACTCTGAAATAATTGCCACGGTTCCCTCTTCATCTTCAAAAAGTTTCAACGAGCAGAGATAAATGAAATGAAACAAGGGAATATCGGTTATTCTCAAAGTAGGTCTCTATTTATAACAGAAGTTTAAGAAAATGCTAAAAGACCGTAAAACAGAAGACCAAATTAAATACATACTTTCTCGTCCCATACATGTTTTCTTAAGCTGTCAAATATCAAATTCAGAGGAAACTCATGAAGAAGGTGCACAGGAAAGAATTTAGGTAAAATATCCAAACTGTCACTTGACATAGAAAATAAAACTGACAAGGACAGCGCCACCAACAAGCAGTATTAAGGGTCTTTGTTTTTTAAATCTTACAACTTGCCTTTTGAGGGGAAATTGCAAATACGAAGAAGGACAAAGACGTGAGGGTCCCTTGGGGTGGCTGCTACCTGATGACTCTTCTACCAAGAGTCCTCCGTGGGGCTGCCCACAGCTGCCACCCCCTTCCGGAGGTTGCAGCAAGGTGGCAAACACTTTGAGCAGGAACACAGAGAAAATTGTCTTTGTGGAAGGCGACCACACAGAGGCAGTAAATAAATATACACGTTCATAGAGAACAGAACGATACGCGAAGGTACTGTTCTTTCTTATCTTAGAAAATGTGCTACTTAACGGGGAAGTTGGTGACACATGCTTGCAGAGGAAGGAGCATGAGTTCTCAGCAATACCCCATTATTATCCCAAAATACGTGCCCTTTCCATAATTCCCCCATTGCTATCCTGTTCACTCTCTTTTTCCTGGGCATCCTCCTTACGCTCTCTCTGTAAATTTTCAAATTTTCAAAGCAGTTCTTGAATTGCTTAGAAACTGGCAGAAATTAATAAGCAACAGCCCATTTATATTGAAATGGACTCATGACGGTGCCAGCTGCCAATAATTTGCAAGGCTGGATTCTTGCTGGCAAACGGTGCCTGCGGGTGGCTGTCCTTCCGCCTGCACAAATGGCTGATAATGCATTTCTTTATATTTTAAAAACAGTACATAATCTACCTACCGGAACTAAAATTTTTCTCTATCTGTATTCTTCTAATCCCTGAGCAGAATAACTATATGGGAAGGAAGGGAAAGTTACAGGGCATTATTTGTAAAATATGCGGGGGAAAAAAAACTGTCAGTTTGGTATAAATTTTTTCTGACTTTGGTGGAAAAAACTTTTACCTGTGCCCCTGGCTGTGGCACTTGACCCATGACACAGACTAATGAAGCACCCACATCTGTTCTTTGGCAATCAGCAGCACGCTAAGGTTGCAACATGCCAACAAATAACTCGTTTTGCCTGTCGTAGGTTAACTCCACCGTGGCCTTGTAACTGTGTCATGGCAACTCGAGAAACTACCAGGATTCTGGTTTTCTTCCATCAGCTGCAAAAAAAATTCAGTCTCAACAGGAGGCAGCTACGCACCAAGCCCAGTATTAGGCGTTGAGCCTGGAGTCCTACCGCATGTAACAAGTCAAATCTTGGCTTCACTCTTGGGGGGTAAGCCAATGTCAATTTACCCCGCTACGAATGAGGACAATAACAGTCCCCAAACCAATGGGTTGCTATGAGCATTAAATGAGATCATCTACGTTACACAGTTAGTTTAGTGCCTACGCCATAGTCAGTTCTCAATATTAGATATTGTTCCCACTCTAACATTTGTAAAGAGCCATTATTAGGGGGCTTCTTTAAAACAGGATACCTAACTCACTGAAACTCAGTCTATGTGATAAGCTGGATGAAACCAGTCACCTTAAATTCGTTGTGGGACCGTAAGGGAATGAATGAACCCAGCAGGAAGATGTGATCTCCTCAATTTGTCCAGGTCACACAACGAGCCAAGCTGACGAAACCTAGCCATACCAGTCGGCCTGCTTACATTACGTTATGATGACCCCTAGTGAAGTGGATGCTGGATGAACCAAGTTTCCCTGTCTCGCTCTGATTCATGCTCAACTCATATAGTACATTCTGTGTCAGGTGTCGAGTAACCAGTTTTCACAGGGAAGCATGTGTGCTGGACGTGCGGAAGGAATTACAAAAACTAAGGTCAGGCTTCAAATCCTTATAAAAATAGACAGGGCTGAGAAGTTCGTTGCCCACTCCTACAGTCTGATGTATAGCAAAAACATGACAACTGTCAGAAATATTGTGTCAGGGCAGTTAATCCATGCCCTTTCCTAAAAAGTCTGCCAGGCAAGAACTTTCTCTTTCACCTTCAAAAAACACTCATAAGGGGCATCCTGTCATTTTTAAGTCCTTATAAGTTCTAAGAATCAAAGTATATAGAGAAAAGGATACTGTTCTTGCCCTCAAAATACCCAGATTCATGTACCAGGCTCAATTACTTACTAACTCATGTGATCTTGAGTAAGTAAATTACCCATTCTGAAACCCAACAGGAAAAATAAGGACATAGTGACATCTTCCTTACTTAACACCTGCCTGAGAAGGTTGTTATAAGATACAAACTAGAGAATCAACATAAAACTCTATAAACAATAAAATGCTACATAACTAGGTAAACTCTTATACTGCCCCAAAAAGTTCTATAATATGTGAATTATTGAGAATCAAGAAGTTTCCCCTCACCCTGAACCTTTGAGGGTGGAGTGATATTAGAGGTCTTGGATCAAAATCCTGAACAAGTCAGAATCCTGAATATTTATTTTATATGTAATAAGCACCAAAAGATTTTAGTTTTTAATATTTATACTTAGTCAGAAAATCAGTATTTGATAGTTGAATGGCTGGATGGATCTGGAGCACCGGAAATGTTTAAATGGTTCAGAAATTAAAGTTAAAGAAAATTCATCAGTCATTCTCTTTGCTTATTTTTCAACCATTACTTTATTCGACGAAGGGCTTCAGGACTGACTCTGCAATATACCTAATTTGAACTAGAAGAAATTTCTACTGGAAAAAGAAAAGAAACCCGCACGCAAGGACAAAGTGGAGAGGGGAAGACAGGGTAACACTGCTCCCCCGTCAGGCTGTGCAGCTGTCCCGGTGTAACAGAGAGCCCCGTCACAGCCAATCCAAACAGGGAGAACATGGCGATTGTAAAATTCACAATTCCCTCACCAAGTGCTCAGAAGGACAAATGTTCTTGGTACTACGCGCAGACAGGAATGTCCACTGGTGGTCCTTGGGGCCACTATGATATGATGAGCAATGTTCTGGACTGCATCCTTCCATATGGGCTCAGTGACAAATGCATCCGGATGTCTCTTATCTTGATCATTGTTTTTTTTTAAAAAAAAAAAATCGCAATTCAGTAACGGAAGTTATAAAGAGATAAGACTCTGCTGAAGAAGAGAGAGTTTGCACAGCCTCCAGGAAATTCTCCTCAAACACTGTTTGCTCTCCTGAGCATTGGATCATGGCCGAGGAGTGGTAAGCTTGAGAAGGAGCTCTCTGGCTCATGGTCATGTGCAGCTGGGCCATGCTACCAGGTGACCACAGCCCATCTGACAGTTCCCCCAGAGAGGAGTTTGTCTGGCTCACATAAAAACGGAGGCTGTGACAAGCACTCCTGCACCAAGAAGAGGTGACTCAGCCTCTCTGACCACTGGGGGCCTGGGGTGGGACCAGGATTCTCAGTGAAAAATCATTCCCTCAACACGGATGAATGAGCTGAGATCGGGGCTCCGAATCCCTACGCCATACAGCATGTGTGAGTGACGTGGCTTTAGCTCAACCAAGTTTTCAATGTAGGTAAAAACAGAGCGCCCAAACCAGCCAAACGAATCCCTAAAAGTTCCCGTATCCAAAGACTGACCTCATTTCGGCTGTAAGTCGGGGACTTTCTACTAAAATGATAACTTTAATTTTAGAACAGCAAATCTTTGGCAAGACAGCCAATAGGTTCAGCTGGGACCCACATTACCATATTTCCCAGGAGTAAAGTCTGCATTGCAAAAGTGAAGCAAAATGTTTTACCCCACACCTCGGGGAGATGTGCCATTTATGGAATGTTTACGATCGGCATCGTAGTGGTAGCTTTGGGCCAAAATAGTCTTCTAAGTTTTTCTAGATTCTTGGCGTTTACTGTCTTGCAACTATACCTGGACACTGGCAAGTGCCAAGGCATATAAGTCCAATAATGCCTCACTCACTATGAAGTTCCCTCCTGCTTCATCTGAGGGAGTTTGGAAACCACTGCTCCCAAAGGGCTCTGTCACACAGCCGGCCATTAAACCTTCCAAACGCCCCACAGCCTGGCCCCTAACAAGGGCTCAGACGAGGCCCCCACTTACTGAAACAGATCTCGTAGCTTTTTCAGGACAGACCATAAGAATCACGCAGCGCCTCAAAAATTTAAGCAGCACCATTGCCACTAAGGAGCTGCGAAGCTGCTGGACACTTGAGAATGCCACCCAGCCATTCCGAGAGCTGCGACCGTGTGAAGCGAGAACTCAGCTCTGGGCTCGCAGCTCCTGAATTCTCATGTCAAGAATGAGTCACGTCAAAAACGCACGCCCATGTCACCGTAAGAGACAATGGAACATTTGATCCCCAAAGAAAATGGGAAGGAGCAACTGATCGTCGGTAACTTCTAATGCTGAAATCTGTCCTTTACTATTTCACCACGTTGTGGCTTAACGCGAAGGGTGTTCCCAGTGAGAGCTAGGTTGTCTAGGTGCCCGGAAGAGGACAGTAAGAGAGACAGACACTGTTAAAAGTGCTTGCCCACCTCCTAGGGAACACAATAGACTGT